CCCTTCTTGTTGTCTCTGACCTCCCTTGCCAAATGGGCCTTGGCCTTCCTCGTCACATTTCTGCATGCTTTGGTGATGCCCTTATATTCTTCCCAAGTGGTCTGTCCTTGCTTCCACCTCTTGTACACCTCCTGATTATGTTTGAGTTTTGCCAGGAGCTTCTTGTTCTTCCGTGCCGGTCTTCTCCCTGCTTTGCTCGACTTCTTGCGCACAGGGATGCATTGTTCTTGAGCCCGGAGGAAGTGATGTTTGAATATTAACCAGCTCTCTTGCACCCCTCTTCCTTCAAGGGTCTGATCCCATGGGATTCTTCCAAGAAGGTCCCTGAAGGGGCCAAAGTTAGCTCATCTGAAGTTAAGTGTGGCGGTCTTACTTACTGCCCTGTTTCCTCCTATCAGAATCCTGAACTCCACAATCTCATGGTCACTACAGCCAAGGCTGCCCCCAACCTTCACATCCCCAACTTCTCCTTCATTAGTTGATAGGACAGCAGCACTCCTTTCCTTGTTGGCTCTTCAACCATTTGCGGGAGAAAGTTATCATCAGTGCTTTCAAGGAGCCTCTTTGTTTACATTTGACTTGCAGTGTTACTCCTTCAGCAAATGTCAGGGTAGTTGAAGTCACCCATAAGCACCAGTCTGTCCTAGAAATGCACATGCTTTTTGATATCTCAATTTTTAACTGAGTTCCTTTGTTGAGGCATGAAAATGACCAAGTCTTGTTGGGGAAGCATCTCTAAGATCAGAAGAGTTAAATGTGGTTGTAAAATGACACATCTGACAGAACTGGCAACTGAATGGGCAAAGTTAAAGGAACTAATAAAACCAGTTCTGTATACTGTCAGCTGGAGTAGATCACAGTATACAGTGCTGAGCTGTTTTTCTCACAGTTATTAGTTATCTTGTTTTATGTGTTGTTTTTTTTTTTTTTTTTTTTTATTTGATATCCTCAACAGAGAAAACTATAAAAATACCTGAAACTGGACCACAAAATCTTTTATGTTTGGACATTGTCAAATGGTTGATCCAGGGACTGCTAGCCTGAAATCTGGAGATGCAGCCAAATCCTTCTGCAAATGAGCAAAACAGGACACGCTGCAATATTGTTCAAGAGATTGTATTAATTTTTCAATCATTTGGAGCTCTCTCTCATGTTCTATCCACTTAGCAGTGGGTGACAATGATGACGCAGTGTATTGCAGGAAGAACATTATTTGAAACCCCTGAATTGAAAGACCAAAGCAAAAAATAGAAAAGGAAGGAAACAAAGCCAAGTGGCTTTAGGTGGAATTAGTCAAGTTCTGCAGAATTCTGTGGTCATATCTACTCCCTCTCCTCTCTTGCTTCTCTGCCTGTTCTCTTTGGTATTATCAGGTGGAGCTCCTTACCTTCAGCAGTTTCATGAGGCCTTCTAACTGAACCATAAGCTCCCTTCGGCTTTCTTGGAGAGCAGACATCCTCTGTTCCAGCTCATCCTTCCGCTGTCTGAGAAGCAAGGAGACCCGATCAGAGCTTACCCCTCACAGCATCAGCAGCTTTTAACTGCATTGTTTCCCCAGTCTGAACTATGAGGCACAAGCCTATAGACCGCAGGAAAGTAAACGCACTGTATGAATCAGCATAGATCTTAGCAACAGGGCTAGATGAAAGCTACATGAGTTCCCTCATACTGAGAATATTCATGGGACTGAATACGGTGATCAGGAAAAAGACAGACACTGACATAGACCCTTCTCCAAAGAACAAATGAAGTTCAAAGAAATTAGTGTTAAATTTCCTCGTGAGAATGCCTGGCAGTTTTTGTCTTTGGATCTCTCTAGTCAATAACCTCACTAGCTGTCGGGAGAAATTAAAGCCATGCCCTGAAGGACAGGAGATTATAGCAGGGGCACTGAACAGAGTGCGATACAAGAGAAGATAAGAGTTCAGAAATTCAGCCAAAAAACCTGCTTTGCTTCTGTTTTTTTCTGGAAGCAAGAGCAAGACTATCACATAGTGGAGATGTAACTGCCTGAAAATAGCTCTTCAGACTTGGAGTCCAGTGCTGGTCCTATGACAGTGTGAATACTGAGCCATTCCAAGTGTGACAGACAGTTTGTGCCCACGTAAATGGGAACAGCTTTGATTTTGCACAGCTCCACTGCACAGCATGGGGGTTCAGCACTTGCACATGTTCAATCACTAAATTGTGCAAGAGGTCCCCAAATAAATACAAAATAAAATTGTTGCCTCCTGGAAGCTATGCTGTAATTAACAATATTACTGTTGAAAAACATACATACTAGATATATTTTACATACTACTGTGTTGCAAATAACATAAAACCCCTATGTTGTTAGCCTTGTACTACCTGTAAAATATGACAATTTGATCCTAAATGAAAAAGCACCAAAGTCAATGGTGACTTAAGACCAAACACATTTCCTGTATTTAGGGAAATAGGAAACCCTGGTTTTGAGCCTTCTCTGTAATTGAGCAGTTACTGACCTAAACAACACTGATTTCCACAGGATGCCTCATGTGTGCTCTCTCTCACCTATATAATAGGATCAGATAGCAACATTGCCAGGTTGTATTTACTCTTCTGGAGGATTAATCTATTTTCTGTTACAAATTGTGCTGGCCTTTTCTTTTCCAGGCATGTAATGGTTGGAAATGCTATGAACTGTACAAAGGCAACTGAGTTTAGGAAACTGCTAATAAAAATAAGACACCTTATCCATGTAACTCAAAGTGGCAGGTCCTAGCACAGACCTCTGCTGGGTTTTAGATTCATTCTATGGGGAGAGAGAACCCAAGCAGTGTGAGATGTACAGACCGCTCCTCTGCCTTTTTTCTCCAGCTGTACTTCAGAGCAAGTTCTTGGAAGTAATGAGCTTTCCAACCTGTCTCCAAGACAGCACTGGTAACATGAAGGAATGTTGTGTTCAGAACCCCATTTCAGCAAGTCTGTAGCACTACAGCAGCTAGTTAAAGATGCTGGGACAGGCACTCAAAACACAATTTACAGATTCCAGCATTCCTTAATATTATATGAACCAAATTGCCCTACTGCCCTAATCGCTCAAAGCCCCAAAAATCTGTGGGGTGGCAGATATAAATCAGTGCTGCTGGTCTGAGTTCTGCTGTTTTATACATGATAAGAACAGCCTTCTGACATCTTAAGTGTCTAGGAATCTGAGGTGGTGTGAAAATTCCACAGTAAATCAAAAGCCAATCTTTTGCCTTTCAATTGGTGAACATTTTAGAACGTATGCAAAGTAGTACAGACCCACAGATTAGAAGTTATTTTCTGACTCTGACACTGCATACTAAATCAGAAAAGATATCATAATTGAGGAACTCAGCCTCACTGCCCTAGAGACATCCCATGCCAGGAAATTCAAATAAGGTTATTTTTTTAATATGTGTAGCAAAATTGAAAAGAGGGAAAAATTAAGAAGTCAGTCCACTAACACTGCACAAATTATTTTTTTATTCTCACAGAATGTCACTTGCCTGTAGATATATCTAGAAGTAATTACACAATGAGATCACTCATAGAAATGAAGAAACTAGATTGTCTCCAGATTGGGAAGCAAATGTAATTATTTGTAAAACAGAAAAATATTTTAGTGTGGAAAACTCAATAATAAAACTATACAGTATTTGTAAATAAAAAATAGCACAATTTCTTACAGTAATTTCCTTTGGTTATGAATAAGACCACTAAAATAGTACTTGTGTGAGGAGCATCTAAGCGGCTAAAAATGTTCTTTAGTCTTCCCATGAGAGAACTGCTCTGTGGGGGAGGATAAAATTTAATCTACCATTGTTTCACTGGAAAGAAAGTCTTTACACTCTATTCTCTACTCACGTTAAGTGTTTTGAATGGTTGTTATTGGATTCTCTGGCTCTCACAACATGAACTTCAGGACTTGCAGGGAGCCTATGGATCTGGGCCAATGACAATTGTTCTTCTTCAATGTGATATACATGGCAATTAGTATATCCACATAAAGTATCCTAATTAACATGCAGACACATCTATATCAATGTTTTTAGCTTGGTGGGATAATGGGAGAAATGATCCTCTAAATCTTCAGCTTCTGCAGATGATGTTACTCCTCACTTCCCACATGACAAGGAGGATCATTCTGCAGCCTGGTTTGCACCAGAAGAAAACTGAGTTCTTCTTAGAGTTCAACACATGGGGGAAAATTCCCTAAAATTTCACATAGTATGAAATTTATGTTTACATAAATGAAAAGTCTGTGTAGAAGCATTTGTTCTGACAGAACGACATTTTTCCCCATATAATCAATTGCATTTGGACAAGGCTGTGGGGACTGATTCCAAATGACCTATGGGCCTAACTCTGCACACACTAATGCACACGCTTAATTTAATGTAGACGAGCAATATGTGAGATTCCTCATGCATGCTGTTTAAAGCAAAACCAGGACAAAAGCATAAGCTCAATTACTTTTAGGACTACAGCCTGCACTGAAAATGGAGAAAAAATATATATTGTGTTATATACTTAAACTCCCTCCAAAACCATAAGCCAGGCTTCTCTCTTATTTCTTCTTTTATTGAGAAGCACTGGCTGGCCCCAGTCATTGCTGGAGGTTCTACTACTGTGGACTCACCTCAGGAGCCGGAGCTCTGCAAGGAGGGTGGGATTTTGTTGTGCCTTCTCTGGTGTGGGCTGAGACGCTTGTTCATGTTCAAGTCGCAGCCTCTGGATTTCCTGTAGGATTTCTCTTGGGGAGGAGAATAAGCAGAGGATTACAAGTCAGTAATTTTCCACAAAACCATCTCACTGGACATTGCAAGAGGAAAAAAAGTGTGACTGTATGTAGCTCTTCATCAAGTGGATATCATGACTGGGCTCCAGCCAACAAAAGAAGCCTTCAGCACTGGGACAGCTCTCTGGAGAGTTTTTTAATAAACTTGTAGGATTTCACCATAAAGGGAAATATTTCTTAAAGACTCCCAAAAATCAAGAAGTTGTTAAGAAATAGCAATATGCTTTATTAAATTGTTCCCTTCTAATTCTTTCCCATGAAGATTTCAAGCATCACATGAACTTCACAAAATCTAAAATAGTACCTGGCCCCTCTTGAGAATCAGAGAAAATATTCTGCACTTAAAATACTTTTCGTATAAGTAGAGATCTGAGAGTGGCGAACAATTCATGGAGAATCCCTTTAATAAGACTTGTCATGGCTGGCTTGCCAGCCCTAGAGCACTATCAAAAGGCTAATACAAAGCTTTGCAGCAGGTTAAAACCTTTGTTGATTTTTTCTCTTCACGTGCTGGATGGCAGACGGTTGGGAGGCAGCCTCAAACCATGAAAGACAAATCAAGACTGGAGCTGGTGGCTCATTACATGGTGACAGAAGGCATTGCAGAGTTTGGAATAGGAAACCATCTGGTCTGGGCTGGCCTCTCTTTTACAGTCCGGCAGTAAACGCAGAGCTCTGCTGCCATACATTTCATGGCATCAGGCAGCCTGATACCCAGGGCTAGATCCTCTGCTGCTAACAAACGGGTGCCACTCCTTTTTGGGCCTGGCTGGCCTATTTCTCCTGGACGCTCTCTCTCAGTCTCGGTCACATTTGTACCTAGTGTCACATTTAATCAGCAGCCTAACTCGCTGATCTGCAAACCTTTCCCTGGCAGATTGTGCTCTGGAGAGCTTTAATCATCTTTTTCACAAATAAAAGCAGGGGAGCATAACATCACCAGTGTGACTGATCCTTTTATCATTTCATGTTATAGTGCTACAGAGGATCCAATTCAAAGCTAATCTGGTTTTGAAACAGGACAGGCTTTTTTTTTTTTTTTTAACTCTTAACGAACAGCTGCAAACCGTAAAGTGTCAATAGTTATATCACATCATTGAACAGTACTCATTAAAAGCTGTGGATTTCAAAGCCTTTGTCATATTTAGTGGACCTTTATGTGCCCTGTGCTTTTTGCAGGGGGAGGTGTATGTGCATGTATAAGCACATTGTATAAGAAGTAGGTGGTAAAAATGTAGGTGGTAAAACAAACAAACACATACAATCTATGGGTCTGAACAAAACCAGGTACTTTGCGGCTGCTTACCGGTTTTTATTTTCAAGCTCTGCAATCAGCTGCCTTTGTTGCTTGTTTGCATCAATGGTGAAGGAGATATCTGCTGCCCCTCTCTGCTGACCCTGTTGCTGTTGTAAAAGAGAAGGCTACATTGAAGGAGGAATAGTCAACATGCACCATGAGTTCAACACAGATCTACTCTATGAAATCTGCTTACAGAAAATGCAGTACCAAGCCTGTCTGCACTAAAAAAAGAGCATCCATGTTGTGCTCATAGCAGTACGGCTCCATTGCTAGTAAAAGCAGGGTAAGTGCTAGAGTAAATAAGACTCACGTGTTTACCACCCTGTCATTCATTGCTTCAAGGAGCTTCTTCTGAACCAGTCGTAAAAGGCAGTGGCACTGCTGCAGGCACAAAAGGCTTCCTGTAATATGGCTCTTAATTTTGATACTACAGACAAAAGGAATACACTGAAGCAAAAAACGGCGTTCCTCTCCAAACAGAGGAGGATGTGTTTCCAGTGCAGTGACACTTACTTCTCTTGAAAGTATAGTTTCACTTTCAGTCTAAAGCTGTACTCAGTTTCCAGTCTGGCTGCGTGGCCCATTTGGCCAAGTTTTCCTGTACGCTCTGGTGATACTTCAGGAAAGCTCTTTCCTCAGTCCTTCAGGTACAGCAGAACCGTTTTCCCCCAGTAAAATTAAGTGGTAACTAAACTATTTGCTACCAAACTAGGCAGTGCCTACCACAGCTTCATTGGACTACACTCTTTTTTTCATCAGCAATAACCAAGTATTGGTTTGTTTGTTCACACTCCTGTATTTCAGTATTGTATCAATGTAGAACAAGACATTTAAAGTTTCACTGCTATCAAAGATATCCATTTATGTCTAACTCCAACCTGAAAGAATCAGACATTAAAAAATACTCAGCTGAGTCACTGCTGTGATCTGAGTGTTTCTCACTGTAAGAGCCCTGTGAAGTGTACCTCTGGAGCCCGATTTTATGTGATACCAAGCATCTCCTCCTCCAGGAGGTGGCACCTTGCAGGAATGGACCCTCAGAAAGGATGAAGATACATATCAGTGCTAACTTTTGTTAGGACTGTCTGAGGGGACAGGACAGTAAATTATGCCTGTAACCATTTACTATTTTTTCTGCTACGGGCACATTTTCCCACTAACACTCCAACCACAGGGAAGCAGAGGAGTACATAAAGAAGAACTGATACACGCTGGTGGACATCACAACTGATACAGAGGGAACCAGGATCTTTATCCTGAATGCCCAGCTTTATTAATACATTTAATCCTTTAACAAAACAGAATGACCATCAGTAAAGCTTTAAAACCTTCCACTGTGCTCCTAATGTGGTGCCACTCTCGTGCTTGGAAAGGTTTTTGTATACAGAAAACAGTTTTCCTTCTGTCTCCTTTGTTCAAAGAGCACAGATGGATGGCAAAGGGAAATTCAGTATTTTCCTTCAAAACAGCTCTATTTAAAAACTACTAAAATATTGTTTCCTAAGTTTCCCCAAATATCACAGACACATATTATATACAACTGATTTCTACCTGTTTCTAGTCAGAGACATTATTAATGGGAAATCTTGTTCCCATAAAGAATTATTTTCTTTCAGAAAGAGGACCATCACCCACAGGTTGCCTTAAATTTGAAACACTGGGTCACACCTCTGGAAGGAATTGATTTGGGCTGGGCTGTCAGATCAGGAGCACCCATGCATCTCTCTCTTCCCCTACAGCTGCAGGCAGTGTGAAATTTTCCATGGCAGAGAGCTGCACGGGGTGGCAGGTTCACCTGCACTGCCTTCACTCAGGATGAATGTAACTCCACGTTTTTACACGTAGAGCGGTGCCTGATTTTGCCCTTTCAATTGACCTTGCAGTATAAATCTCAGTGTGAAAATATGCTTCCTGGCACTCTGGACCCGCTGCTTTTCACTTAACCATCATTTATGGTCCCTTGTTCTATTAAATGTGCTGAGAAGGAAAAAAAGTAACTAGGCTGACCTTATTTGTGCCATTTAAGATTTTATATACTTTGATTAGGTTCCTGCTTCATTCTCTCTAATTCCTGAATATAGTTAGTGAGGTTTTAGCCTGTCATCACCTTCTATCTTGGGATACATAGAGCAGAATAATCATTGCTGTGAAATGAAAATGGGAGCCAGGGCTAATGCAGGGGGTCATTACAGTCATCCTGATGAAGATCATTCTTTAAAATCCTCAGCACTTAGGGCCCTAGTGGCCATGATATTTGAACTAAAGAGTAAAATGGATTCACCACCCCATTTTTCCACTGCAGTAAATCATTAACCTTTAACCAAAGCTAGTCCAGACAGTATTTTCTAGTCTTTCCTGAGTTCAAGATGTCAGATTCCTTTTGCTGTAATTGTTTAAATACCATTGCATTAGTATATAGATTATATGCATTAGTATGTGGATTCTTTGGTTTAAATGGACTGTGTAAAAATGTTATTACTAAAGCGTAACAGCATCTGATGAAAAGGATAGGGAAAAATAATTCATTAATCATTAAGACTGTCAGATGTAATTTCCCTGATCTTGCCAAGCCCCTGGAACATGACAGAAGGACAGTACCTTCCTTTTATTAAAACACTTACTGAAGAAGAAGTTTCTGCTGCCAGCCTTGCTGCATACCTGGCGATCAGCTTATGCTCTTCATCCAGGCGACTTGCGCTGTCGAGCACGCTGCTCGGGGTTGGAGGGGAAGGAGGGAAAACATGTTAATACACAGTAAAAATGACCATTGCTCTGTCACACTGTCCACTCACACAACCTCACTACAGAATTCAGAAGCAAAATGTTGCCACATTAACAATGGCAGATGTTAACTGAGCAAAGGAGAGAAGTGGGAGGGTAATTTCCCTGGGAAGATCAGCTCTAGGGGTCAGGCAGCACCTTCCCTTAAGGGCAAACAGCAGTGGTCTGCAACTCCTGGCCAGGGCCATGCAAGATGCAACTCGCATTCTACTCTGTCCAAAGAGAGTTGGGAGGCGGTTAGGACCACCAGTCAGCATTTGTTTTTACTTCTCAGCTTTGTCATATCACCTAGAAGAGCAATTACTTTTTGGACAATGGATTAGTGGGAACCTCAGTGTTTGCTGAGGTTGGTTTCAGCTTTGTCAGATTTGCAACAGAAAAGACTATTTAGGAGGGTTTTGTAGGGCACTTACCAAGGCCCCATGTACCACAGTTTGAAACCACTGATCTAGGAATTTATAATCAGACTCTTATTGGTTTCTTGATATTTGGGAGTAAGATTTCAGAGAATCACATAATGGTGCATCACTGATCCCAGACTTGGACTGACTTTAACCTGGAGCCAACTCCTGCTGCCAGGATGCAGAAGTCTCCTAGCACCAACTATAAAAAGTATCTGCGCTGGTCACATGCACAGAATCTCCAGAAAAATTACCATTTTTTACCAAAGGGTAAAAATTACTGCAAATTTTTACCAAAGGGTAAAAAATTACTGCAAATATGCGGAACTCCTTTAAAATGCTGCAATTTATTACTGTATTTTTTTCTAATGACATCGAAGGCAAATATTTCTCTCAGGTTAATCCCTTGCCAGCTGTCCTTATTTTAAATGGAGGCTGTTATTTAGTCAGATGAGCAGGAAAAAGGTAATACAGTAAGAACCTTTACTATTTCTACATATCTAGAAGCTTGCAGAGAACCACCAAAGCTAATAAACTGGACAAAAAATTAAATATGAAGAGGACTTAGTTGACCCTGAATAATCCTGCAATTTAGAATCCTATATACAAGAAAAAAAACTGGGCCCCTAAGAGGTGAGGAGAATGTTTTGTCATGTGGAATACAAGACAGCCTGCAGACTATCCCAGACAGAGGTAAGTCTGACCTCTTTTCTTATGCCTGATGTTTTGGCTTAAGGAAGACAGGCACACGCCTCTCTGCCCATAGGCTCTTCAGGGCATGCAACTTGTTGCTGGAGAATGAGCTTCACGTTCCAAAAGAGTGAGCGAGGGTTATTTTGGGCATGGGCATCTTGTTCTGATTTTTGCCAGAAATTAGATCTTGAACTTGAAAAGCCTTCTAGATGAATATGGCACTTGTGCAAAAAGTTCTGCTTTTGAAGAATCAGCCTCTTAAAAAGGAAAAGGAAATATTTCTCAAAATTTTCTCAGTGAGTTCATATCCCCAGGTACCTCAGAGAACTACAATGTACATTTTTTGTTTGGCTTGATGAAGTCCACTGGGATTTTGAATGTATGTTTGAAAGATGAATAGCAGTTGATATTCATTGATCATTAAACTAAAGTTGGGACTCATGTGGATTTGTTATGGCTTGCTGAGGTAAGGGAAAAGAGACAAACATCATCTTTTTCTGATTCTGACAATAACCTGTGAGACCACAAACATGAAGTTTAGAAAAACAGTAAAGCTATGAAAAATCAGACCCAGATGGGTTTTGTGTAAGCTAAGCTTGTGCTGCACTGCACATAAGAGTTCTGGTGGTAGATGAACACTGACTTTTTGGCTTTGTTTATGTTTAATTTATTCTTTTAAATATATAGCTTAAGTCCATGCTTACTCAGATTCTTGTGGGATAACTGATTTACTTTCTGAAAAGACCCAAGCTAAAGGTATTTTTCTAAATTTATACAGTTCTACTTCTTACATACTCATGCTTACTGTCCTGGTATGCCACCCAGAGAAAGAAAGGGGCAAGCAGCTCTTGCAGACATATAAAATTATGCAAATCAGGTAATAAGTGTTACTTTCATGACTGTATAATTCATTTTCAATTTTTCCATAATCACTAAAACATCACATTCTAACAGATGGCTGTGAAAACAGCAAACATTCAGCATCAATTCTCCTTTTTACAACAATGAGCAACCATATTATCCATCCTGGAAAAATAATGGATTATGGTTCCACTTCTTGACATTACACAATCTGCAACATAGTTCTGAGATGTGAATTAACCCTTGAGACAATGATTTTACTGGATGAACAAAGTCACTGCAGCTTTTTGATTCTTACTTGCTATTTAATGTCTTTGATACATATTTATATGTAGGTGGATGTCATAAAATAGATGTAGCAGTGTGTCAAATTTGGTCTATGAATGCCACAAATCACTGGACCCAAAGCTTTTAAAATTAATTTTCAATGTGTCAAATAAAATTAGTTCTGGAATATACCTGTTCTATGTGGTCATTAAGCACAGAGGTATGCACAGCAGCATTAGCCTTGACTGCCAAGACTTTTATGTCTCAGAGTTCTGATTTGCCATAATTCACTTGTTTTACTCCAGCAACTTCACAGACAATGATACAGTGAAATACAAGCTTTAAAATATTATGAATATGCGTGCAGAATTTGGTACCCTCAAGAGAATGATTCAGGCATCTTTTTGAAAGAAACTGAACAGCCTGCATCCAAATATCCTGCTGCTGATCCTCCTTTTCTAAAAAAGTTAAACAATGCTTTAATGCTGCTTTTCCACTAGTGACCATTTCTTTAAAGACTTTATAATTATTAGCAATAATTGGTCTGGCAGAATTATTATCATTCAGATGTAGAATGAATATCCAATATCACCACCAGTACAACAGGACTTCTTTTTTAGGCTTTAGTTGATCTGTGTAGTATTCTACAGCCTAAAGGAGAGTCATAAAAAAGGGATCTCAAAACTGCAGGCAAAGGATGAAATATATGATAGCCTGTGAACAAAGGAGTAACACTGGAGGAAATCTGCTATGTCTCACCACAGTACTACACAGTATAACACTAAAAAATCAGAAAGTAACTTTCTACAGAGCAAAAATAACCTTCTACTTATATTTTATCTTACTTTCTTCTGCACCTGGAAAGAAAAAGATGGAAATATGTGGAATTAATATTCAAAACTAGGTAATGTCTCTAACTTATAGGAACAAAAAGGAAAACTACTTGCAGTTAAAATTTCTTTTTTAGAATCAGACACTGAAGATGAACTAAATTAAATATCAAGTATTCATGTAACATTCTAAAACATAATTTACAATTATGCTAACCAAAACATCTGGCTAAGCGATACTTCTTCTACCCATACAGTTACTATAAATAATGAATTAAGTCTTTCTCTTGTTTCTTAATTTGCCCTGGAGTATGCGATTCTAAAAAACTCTCAAGTAGCTTATTAGCCTGTGAGGGATAGAAAGGAAAACTTGTACTTCTAGTCGTGGTATCAAATAACTGCAGATGAAAAATAAAGATTAGCAGTGAATATTAATTAAATTAATAAAAGACCCCCAAAAGATAAATACTAGCTACACTTAAAACAGAAAAAAAGGAACACTGAGCTATACTGGACTATTATTAGCTACTACAAATTAGCCTGAGTGAGTATTTAAAAACCCCCTTCATTTGTTTTGAAGTGCTACTATACATCTTTTAAGATAATTTTAGGTGTTATGTTCACAAAGTGTTTCTGTAAGTTTTTCTTGCAGATGAAGGTGCAGCTACAATCATTTCTCTTTTCATCTCAGGCTGCCAGTAGCACTTGAAAATACATAATGGCACGTATGGGTATGTACACACGGCATTTTGCAGGCAGACACAACAGCTGAGCTGGCTAGCTGCAGCCTCCCTTAAATCAGAAGCTCCCTCATTATGGTTAACTACATGCTTTACTCAGGCTACCAAAACTTGTTAAGCTGCCGGGTGAACTAACTTGAACTCGGCACCATCCTAACACAGCTGTGTGGGTTTTGAGCAAACTGCATCCAGCCTCTCTGGAGCATGGGCAGGAGGAGTTCACGTTTCCTGAAGATGTCACCCCAGGCTGTATGAGATGCAGCAGCTGAGCCTCTGGCTGAGGCCTCTCCTGGAAACTGGCTTCAGGCAGGAGCTTCAGGATGGTAATGTTCTGTTTATTCTTCTTGTCTTTACCAAAATATAACCACTCACTTTCTCTACTACCAGTCGCATTGCCCCAAAGCAGAAAAATGGCAATGCAGCAAGGTTTGATGCATGACTAAGACTGCTGTCCCTCCTGGTTACGTTTCTGTCAAAATCTAATCGGTATCTTATACAAATAACTGAGATTGTTTCTCGTTGAGGATGCTATGACAGAAGTTATTTAATGTCAGTAATCAGATGTTATGTACTACACTTTGCATTGGTTATTTAAACAATTAAAAGTCATTATCAGTCACTATTCATCCTTCAAAACTAAATTTGAAGGATGTTATGGTACATAATTTCTATGTGTGAATTTAGATACAAATGTACTATGACTTGGTGAGGTTGTCTCAAAAGCTTGAAGGAACAGGTTGGAATATACTGGATAAAATTTAGAGGATGAAGATGGTAATGATGAGGCTAAGCACTCAAAAGGGGATCTAACTGGTGGTCCTCACTGAAGCTAAATGAATTACAGATGTGGCATCAAAAATGCCATGCCTGGCAAACCGGCCTTGACCAAAAATTACTCTAAACCATGTCCATTCTTTGCTCGTCTCTTGAACAACTTTATCAAGTAAGTCACTCGTGGTAGGCAGGGCCACATTTCTTTCTCCCTGTCAATCGAGACCGAGTGGAAGTGTACTCCTGTCCTCAAACACAGATGGGCAATGACTGCGCTACACACATGCCCCCAACAGCTTTTCACTGCCATGGGGTAAATATTACTCAGTAAGCCTGCTTTCTGGAAGTTCTTCTCCAGGAATGAACTGCTCCTTCAAAATGCTTTTGTTCTGAAGATGGTTTTCACTTTCCTTACTAAAAACTGGTTTGCCTTTTTTTTCCCCCCACTGGCACATTCCAGTGGGCTACAGAGTAGAGAAGCAGGTCCAGAACAATGAAGGCAGACTTTTCTTTCTACTGGGCATGGCAAATTACTACCATTTTCAATTGGAGCTACACACAGAAGTGAATTTCATAAGACTACAGAGAACCATTGCATTCACCCTCCCAAATGAAGTTCCTTATTGCCTTCTCTACATATAAGAGCAAATGGAGAGTTTCTCCTAGCCTGGGAAATATTCTGCAACAGCAGTACAGGAAACTGAAGGGTTCGTGATAAGCAAAAGAAACCTCAGAAGCATAGTTTTGTTAGGAACACTGCAGAGTTTTCTGTTCAGCACCACATTTTCTAGGGCCATACGCTAGACTGCTCACCACCTTGCTGGTACAGGGCTGCAAAGTCTAGAGTTTTGTTGTACTTGGAGAGGTGAGTCAGAGAGAGCATCTCTGCTCCCCGGAACAGCCTGCTGTGATGCCACCACCCACAGGTGCTAGGACAGCAGGTGGGTTTAGTAGACAAAGCTCTATATTCACTCCAGCAGAAATAATGAACTATGTTCAAGACATCCATTTAAAAATTTGTCATATTTGAGTCTGAATGAAAGATAAGGGCAAATTTATATTCAAGATTCAAACAAAGCAGAAATCAGGCAAATTTAAAAACAATGCCTGATGTATGTACAAATTGAAATGAACTCCTTCCTTCACTAGGCTAATAAGCAAATTCCTATTATTACTGTTATCATTGTTTACATACTATTACCATTCCTTACCTTCAAGGTAAGGTGAAGCTACAAATTATATATCACCTCAAAAATTATTACCTTGAAAACACAGACTTGTTAGTCATCACTGTATGAAGATTTCTGTACCATCATCAAGTCCTGCACTGACTAAAGCATGGTATTCCAAATCAATTTACACAGCCATTCTTAGCAAAGCAGTTATTTGCAATACCTTGCTACTTAACATCACTAGAGAGAATAACAGCAATTGCCATAATCCATCAACTTTGGGAGGACATACCCCATATTCATATGCATTCCCTTTAAGTTAGTGCTCATAAAGAGCTGCTTCAGCTTGTAGCCAGGAGGAAACAGTGAGAGCATCTGGGCAACCAACATCCCTTTCCTGGGTTCCCCAAAGGTGCCAAACCTGCACTAACCGTGCGGGGTTGCTCTGCAGCATGTTGACATACAACCCAATGAGCACATGTTCATCGGCTAGCCTGTCTGCAACATCCAGGCTGTACTGTAACCTGAAACGGGGGCGGGGAAGAGAGGGTGCAGTCCGGACAGACAGAGGGAAATAAACAGAGAAAGCAGGAGCAAGTGAGATTGTGAAATGGGAATTTAGGAATGAATACTTAAGTGTTCTTAGGAAAAAAAAGTGCAGAAATTATTTCGTTATTATTGTAATGTATATGTTAAGTATTTAATGGCTTAGGATGGTGGAATCCAACTCGATTATAGAGCCAGCCCTGGAAATCAGTGAGATACCAGATCAGGCCAGGGACTGAAGCTTGACAGTACCATTTATTTCAAGAGTCAGTAGATTGTAAGGTCAGCACTATTTGCTTTAATATACTATGTATTGTACATATACATTAAATATACATACATTACACACAATATAAACATACTGAAATCACAAGTTGGATTTGCTTGGAAGTGTCTGATCAAGACCTCACGCATCCAGATGTACATAAATATATCTGAACATGCCCTATTTAGCTCATTGGGTTAATTGGTTATCACAATTTTATCATGAAAGATGCTTAAGAACACATTAAAAGCACGAGGAATAGACGAAAAGGTTTTGGTTTAGGTGTGTTAGTGCAAGCTATGAACATATTTTCTCTTTAACTTACCCTTTGCCTTTCAAGAAAGCTGGAGCAGCCCTAGCCAGCAGTTTGTTCTGCTCTACTTCAGTATTCTTGGAAGGAGAGCTAGTTAATAAGACAGGAAAACTAAGAAGAGTGTAAATAGCACTGTCTGAAATTCACTATATTCTCTACAGATCAGAATTTGGAGAAACCAATTCATGCCCTGGACTGAATAAAAATAACAAAAGAAGCTTTAAAGAAATTTGAGAAAACTTCAGGAAATTCCAAGTCAGGAATTACAAGTTTTCCCTCGTGTTCTCCAAAAGCAAACTATAAAGCCTTCACTACAGAAAAAACAAACAGAATGTGTTTCTCTCACAAATGGAGAGCTGAAGGCCTGTGTAGTTTCCAGGTGGAGTCCAAGATAAACGTCATCTTAAATGCAGCTTTCAAGCTGGGAAAGCTTCACCAGAACAGCTAAATTGTTTTTCTCCATCCACATTTGCCATAAGACAGCTTCAATAATCTATGGAAATATGCTTATTTAGACCCAGTGATGGGATACATCAGTTTAATTCTCAGAAGTACTGTTCTTCTGTTGATTTGAAAAAATATATAGTTCAAACCCACCTTTTTTTTTTCCTAATTACATTATTTAATGGATTGTAGTAATTGCATCTTTTCCAATGCTAAAATATCCATGTTAGTAAGATAACACTGGCTAAAAATGAAGAGATCAAAACGTTAGTTTTTCTTTCATGCTGCAGCATTTTTGGTTTAAAAAACAACAAAGCAAACCAGAAATTTAACCTTCTTCTTTTTAAAAATTATTCACCTTTATTTTTTATTTTGTCTACTGATACTGTAAATGTCTTTGATCAAAAGATGGGTGTGTGAGCATGTAGGCACCTGTGCATCTGGGAGATGTGTGTGTATATGCAATGATGTTGTACAAATGTGATGCATGATAAATGCGAGCAGATGTGGCTCTGATGGACTGAAGATCAAAAACTTTACTGTTAGGACAAAGAAGGAATTCAGTAAGACGAGGTGCATGCCATTCCCCTCCTTTTGAGAGGTCGAGGTTGGCAGCAGGGTTCCAAAAAGGATGGTATTAAAGGGTGTCCTAAGAACCCAAACCCTGTTGATTTATAATAAATCTGGAAGATTGCTGAATGAAACAGTATTGCATAGCGAGGAAAAATGCTTATTTCACACTTCTGTGCCCATTAGCGTGCTACTTCTGTGCGTTGCGGTTCCACCGAAGCAACATCCACACATTTAAATATGCTCCATGCCATCCAGAAGGATATGGCTTCTACCCATGTTTTCGTCCCAGTTACAGAAGGAAAATGCATTCAAGGGGTACAGGGTGTGCCATTTCAGCCAAAAATGTAGCGTTCAGTTCTTAAAGTAAAGATTAGTAAGTTGCCACAATGGGAGACTAAAGACTCCAGTGCAAATTTTGTGCTTTGCTTTCTAACAGTGCACGTCTCCTCTACCAACCATAAGCTCTCCCCTTCTGTGCTCCAGAAGCAACATATTTTGGATGCAGGGACAGGCAAGCAAAGGTTACTCATTGAGCAACTGATCTCACATCTATCAATATCCATTTCCTTCTTAGTTGATTAAGCAAACTTGAATCTTCCAACCTCTTCTTAGGAGTTATGTTTTCTACGCTTTTCTGATATTTAGGTGTCTCCTCTGCTCGTGCTGGTTAGCATATCTGTCCTGTGCTGTTGCCTTACACTGGGTGCAAACCTCCAGGCAGACGTCTCCTCCTCCAGGGAATGAGTTTTAATGGCTTTCCACATGATGTCCCAGTCAGATGTAATCTAACCACCATATTGCTAACTTCAATTAGTTTGTGGTTCACTGCAACTGCTAGGTCCTCTGCTAAAATATTTCTGTCCATCCAATTATGCTCCATCTTTTATCTGATTGTTTCCTTCCTTGCTACAGCACTTTTCACTTATAATTACTGAGTTTCCTCTAACTAATTTCAGATGATTTGGATGTCAATTACTACCATTGCAATTGAGCTAATTTTTTAATTTAGAAACTGCTCTCCAAGCAGTCCTTCCCGTAACTATTTCAACCTCTGTACCATTGCATACACACACTCAATTGCTCCCACTAGGTCATTACAAGAAATAGCGCATAGTGTCTGACTTAGGATAGCCTTCAAGAATCCCAGCTGATATGTCCTCCTCCTAGAATGACAGCAAACTTTTGAAAATGTAATTGCTGATTTTCAGTGTTGCTCTTATACTGATTTCCCCCTGTCCATATTTCCTCTGGGTACTTCTCTGTCATCTGAGACTATGTGAAAAGTCCTTTTACGGTCAACTTGTATCATATCCACTGCTTCTTTTTTACCTACTGTCAATGAAATAAATTAGTTTGATTTGACATAATTTGTTCTTGATAAATCCGTGCTGGTTATTTCACATTGGTTCATTATCCTCCAGGTGCTTACTAATTCTTTCATAATTTCAGTATCTTTGGATATCAAAGTTAGGCTGTCTCTTGTGTAATCCCTTCGGTCTTTGTCCCCATTTCCGCCTTCAACCTTCCTTCATTTGGAAAGGCTGTCATTTGCCCTTCTTCTTCCACATCTTCCTATATCCTCCACATATTCCCCAAAATACAGCTAATACTTCAGAGACTGTTTTGGCCACAGTGAGTTTCTGTGGGTCCTACCAACTGGAACATATATTTTAAAGATATACCCCTGTTAAAATGGAACATTTTGTAAGATGCCAAAGAATGCTTCCCCATCCAAATTAAGAGACAAAACCTCCAACTCTGAGCAGATGTCTACAAAGATGCAGACCTAACAATATTGGTGTAAATATTATACCCACTTTAGTATCTACTTGGCTACTAAACAATCAGACACAGAAACCTTTCCTTTAGCAGGCAGAACGTTGCCAATGAAATAAGGAGTTGTTGTTTTCTTGTTCTGAAAACAACATATGAAGGCAACATTCAGTTCAAGTCTACCACGCTCCTTAGAGACAGAAATGTGGACAACAGCAGTAACCACCACGTCTTGCTCCAAAGCTAGCTGTTGTCCAGAAATCTGGCCTAATCTCTCACTATGCCCAGATAGAATATCTAATTCTTTTTAGCTGTTCTGTGGAGTTCAAAGAAGTCACCAGCTACTCTGACTCAGCATGAAGTAAGATTCAATTTCTCCTTGACTATGGGCATTTGATACCGTAGTGCATTCTTTCTATCTGCCACAGAATTGCCAAGGAATTTCAAGTTCATTAGAATGCGCTGCATCACTTCATTGATTCCAGTTTATTGCTCCTTTACAAGAACGAAACGTGGGAAGGCTGAGAAAAATGCAAGAAAAAAAATGTTCTGTTTCATCTTATTCCACCTTAGCCCTATAATTTGATATCTTAAATAAGATATTTATTAAGAAAGAGAAAGAGATTGTATCCATTACTACGGTAGCTATGTACTTTAAGGCAGCACTGACAGACTGGATCTGGGGAACAAGAGAATCCAACTACGGAAGAAAACATTAATTCAGGGTATTGAGTTTTTCCTCTTGACTGGACAGAGGTTTCTATAGTGCTCAATTTACCTGTTTTGACACACCATGTCTAATTCATTTGGTTTGCAAGGGCATTACCTACTCTGCAGCAATATTCCCTTGTTCTGCTGCCCTCTAGGTAATCAGAGATCACAAAAACAAATGTGAGATTAAAAACTGAATATTAGCTACAGTAAAAAATTACAAGACTTGTGGTTTTAATTGCAAATTAGCTGTCATCACAGTAAATAACTGTGATTTGGTATTTGGGAGAAGATCACATTTTTTTGTTTCTTCTTTTGTAATATAAATGCTTTAAAGTTGCTCTTGAGCTGCACAGAGCATATTGTTGGTGTCCATTTGCACACTGTATGTATTTAGAAGAAAGGTGCTTGTAATTTTTAGGCCAACCTCCTTGTGAAACACTCTTTTGGTGGCTTAAACTAACCAAAGCAAGCAGAGAAATTTTAAAGGGATTTTGATTCTGAAGTGGCTGGAAGAAACTAAGAAGCACCTCAGGGAAAGCTGCCCTTCTTTGAGCTTTGGAATAACTGCATACCTACCCAAAATTGGTGCTTCAGATGCAACTAAACTGCAAAGAATGTATAATGTTCAATCTCCTTTCAGCTGTTGCCCAAAATTTGTCATTGTATTTACTAGTTATCAGAGATCTTTTCTCTAACAAGATTCTTCTTCCCAGTTCATTTCCCTTTTTCACCCATGAATCCAGAAATGAAGATTATCTTGTGCTGAACGTGTGACAATATATCCATTTCCAGCAGCAGAATGACTTTGTGTGCTGAATTCAGCATTTCTTGCTGCAGGGAGAAACTGCTTGTGAATGGTTATGTTCTTATGTGAACACAACTGGCTGAAATAAATACCATGGGAACGCTACAAATGACAGTCTGTGCCAATTCTCCTTTGCATAAACAGTCTAATTATATAAAAACTTTCTTTAAAGCTATCTGAAACCTCTGGACTAGACTGCAACACAAATTAAAGTAACCATAAGTTGTCTGCAGTGAAAACACAGCCAGCAGAGCTTTTAGCATTGATTATGTTCAGCTAGAAATTTTACTCTGAGTTTGTACAATTTTTATTATAATATGAATCATGTAGCATTTAATATAAAATCAGCAGAATTGCAAACAGAGCTGTCAAAGTCTGTTTCTCTGATGTACGAGAGGATGAGCTTCCACTAATGAGGCCTGATTTTCCCAGGGCAATAATAATAAAAAACCCTAAAAGAATGTATGAAGATACTGTTATTAGTGTAATACAGATTGAAGAACTTGGCATTTAGCAGGAAAGTACCTTGGTCTCAGTACTTTCTTATTGAATTATAGCTCATGTTCATAGATTAATCAAAAAAGAAAAAAAAAAAAAGGTCATGAGACTCCACAGCAAAAAAAAAATGGGGAAACTGTTTTTTTCCAACTAAAAAAAAAAAAAAAAAAAAAAAAAGGTCATGAGACTCCACAGTAAAAAAAAATGGGGAAACTGTTTTTTTCCAATTGCGTATTTCTTTTATGCAGAATGAAATAGGCTCTTCCTTTAGGTCACTAAGATAAGAGGGAATGCTGGAAAAATGGTGCAGCAACTAGAGGCATTGGTCCAAATCCAATGCTCACTATGCAAATGTGAATCCTTCAGTAGGATTTAGATCTGCCTTCTCTGTGTCCATTTTGAAAAGCAAAGCAAAGGGCCTGGGGAAGGTTATTGGCAAGCGATGCTGACTGTAGAACAGTAACCACCAGCAGCAAGAGCCATGGAAGAGGAAAAGGAAGCTGGCTGTGAGACCTGGAGTTGTTTCCAGCCTCTTATGCGAGCCTCTTTCATTCCTTTGTTAAGAATGTAACAGGTAAGTCACACACTGATGATGAAACCATAAAGATGTAGTTTTTTCATTTTCAAAAACAATGTTTCCAACTTCCACTAGATAGATTAATATTGATCCTATGTGAAAGGGTAAAATGAAAGATTTGAGCTGCGCAGAAGCAAGAGAAGTTGGCAAAGCCCACAGCCAGCAGGAAGTCTATTCAAAGGACTAATTAGAGCCACAGAAACCCGCCAGCCCACCAGAGCCTTCCTTAAAGAATATCTTTAGTAGTTTAGCAGAATTGCTAATAATTTAGTGCAAGAGCTCCAGAACTACGGCGATTAGTGGGTTAGTGCTCTCATACTGACCGTGAATTGTTGTGCAGCTGATTTACATAGAGCTTTATAAGAGAATGCTCATCAGCCACAGGACTGGCTGCATTTATACCCCCAAGTAACCTGAATGATTCAAACAATGAAACCTTGTTAATATCCCAAAAAGCATACACAAAGAGGAGTGTGTTCAGAGTGGGTTTATTACAATAAATGCAATTTGCAACCGTTTAGAAAGGATACTGACTTGACAGTTTGTAGGGTGCTTTTTCTTTTGAATAAAAAGATGAAAATTGAACTTGTAAGAGATGAAAGTAAAAATAATTATAAAAAGCTGTCAAACATGAAATTCTGCTAAGGCAATGTAACAAAAGTTACAAAACTTTTAATATAGAAGCAATATAACTGCTTTACATATCATGGTACTGTTAACTCTAAAAGTGCCAGAACTGACTGCTGCATCATGGAAATGTTTTGCTGTATAAGGATGCCATAACATCCATTATAAGGAAGTCTGGGTACCTATGGTTCAGGGAGTTTTATTGTCTCCTGCTTTCAGGGGATTCTCCATCAAGGAGTTCTTCCTCTAGGAGAAAAGGAATTTTAATAGCTCAGGAATCATTTACATTTAATCCTGATAGTTACTAAGACAGACTGTTGAACTACTGAAGAACACAAAAGTAAAACAATCAGGAATTTTTCACATGTAAAGAAAAACAAGCAGCACAGTAGATAGTGCTGTGATTATTACTGCAGCTCCCTGGCCTAAATGGCAAAGCAAACTTTTGTTGAATGAGCACAGGGACTTGGGGATAAACAGAAGCAACAGCTACACTCTCAAAGAGCATCGCTCTTACCTAGCTGTCCTGGAGAGGCCACAAATAGATTGTCCTGCCTTGCCCTGGCACATGCAATTCTATATACACCAACAACAGAAATGAATTTGCATTTGCAGTCTCCCTGTCTTGTATAGGCAGCAGATTGGGTCTTGGGGGCTGCTTTGGGACTGGCTTTCAAAAAACATTTCAGTCACACCCAGCAGCTACTTGCATTAAGATAACACTGAGAGTTTGCAGTTTATAACTCCTGGTAACAAAGTTCCTAAATCAAAGTAATGGTAAAACCTCTTTGACATTGCAGTATGGTACACTGCAGGTTTGGTTTTGCTGTTAAAAAAATGTAGCCATGCATACCCAGAGACGGGGTCTGGTTATTTGGGAACACTGAAGCACCGACACTTGCAGCAGGAACCAAGCAATAAAATGCACCCAAGGAAGACATATCGCTCATCTTCCCCGATACAGCAGGAAGTTATTTTTCTATCACCTTCTCCTCCATGTGCACTGGTAAGCTTACATAGATCGGGTGAAACAGCTAGCAAATGTTTCATGTGGCCATATGAACCAAATACTGAGCCAAAGTGTACACACTCAGCAGCAAGCACCTTTTCTTTGGGATTAATGTTTCTGATCACTCTTCTCTGGTTTGTTTGTTGAAGGGTCACCATATGTCAAAACTAATCCTCTCTTGCAGCCTTTAATGAAAATCTGAAGGGTTTAACATGAGTAAGGATGTCTTGCTATATCTTGCAAGTATGAACACATTTTCTCTTTGTTTATATCATATCTTGCAGTACGATGCAGGCATTCCCAGTAGGCAACATGTCCCAGTTTCTATTCTCACAGTGCTGCTACAAAATGGCTTCTCCCCAACAGTCCATTTTTCAGCTGCAATGGGAGGGTGCCTAGGTTGCACATGAGCACTTAGTGGGACATAACAGTTCAAATGAGAACTGAAGTTCTGTGCTCTCTTGTGAGGAGCTTTAGGTGCCCTAATGCCAGCTCTCCATCTAGATAACTTGGTATCAGTCTAAATTAACCAAGGCATTTTCTGCTCATGTCATGTTAATTTTATTTTGGTTTTGATTGTGTGGTTTTTTTGGTTTTGTTTTCTTTTCTGGGGGAGGAATTGAAAATGGAAATCTCCATCACTCTCATATAGTGGTTTAACTTAGAGTAAGAACTCACCTTCTGTTTGCAAAAGGACTTCCTGAGGGAACAGAGTGGGAGAAGAGTGTGTCGTTCATGCTGGTTACAGGTCGGGGGGGCCTAGAAAAAGGCAAAATACCAGTTGCATTAATTTTCAACAGAAGAAAATTCATCAATACAACAGTATTTACAGATAATTAAATGAGCTTCTTGGTTGAAGTAACATTACTACTGGCATCTTTTGCTTGAAGTAGCAACAGTTTCAAATCAAAGATGCTGTGTTTTTAAGCAGAAGTTGATAAAAACACACTGTTACTTAGGCTTGGAAGGAAATAATGCTTTTGCGTGCTCTGACGTGAGTTCTAAGCAACTTGCTTGATTTTTTACTCCTGCTTTGGCAAAATAACCACTATGCCATTTTTCCTTTCCAGAGCCTGTAGTCCAGAGTGCAGTCACTGCTTCCAACCAGCAAGGCTGAGCACTGGGCAGCATGGAGGTCTGCAGGGGGTAACTGCCAATAAATGATACATCTTTTCATGAGGTTATCCCTGGTGCTAAGCTCCATGCTACCATATCCACACAGTGGCCACACTGTACCCATAGCCCTCAGTATCCCACAAAATACATGTAGTACTAAACTGGTTTAACTGCAAAGCTTTCCAACTGGTATATCAAATCTGCAAATCAAAATTTAAAATAAGTATCTAGTTTAAGAGGACCCATTAATAATGAGGGGTTTATTATTACATTCTTCATTTCCTGCTCTTACTAAAAATGAAATGAGAAGGAGTATTTCCTCTGCTTTTATTGTCTACTCTTAAAAAAGTATTTTGTGCATAATTTTTCCTTCTGTATCCATTAAAGAGAAGTTTCCCCTTCTTAATGGACTTCTTATGAAACATTGGGCAAAACAGAAAGACACTCTGGAAAAACTAAAACATATGTTATTAAAATCACAGGGTTTTCAACCAGATATGAGCAGAACCTGAAGCCATATATAGTTCAGACTTCAAATTGCCTAGATATCAAGTTGGTTAATATCCCCTTTAAGCTCTGTGAAAGATTTGTCTTGCTTTCTGAATTCTTTAGATGCGCAAATCAAAATATAGTAGCCAGCTGCAAAATATTCACTGGGCTCTAATTGTGCAAGACAGCCAGTCATCCAAACCATTTGCAAGAAATGAAGAAAGCCAGTTCTGCACAGAAGTGAACTACTACTGTATGTTTTCTTTCTGATTTTGTAACTGTTACAAAACAAGCATAAATATGGTCTTTGACAAGTCCAAACAGATTTCTCAGCATGAAAATACTACACTGATTTTAAGAAGTTTAAAACTGGGAATAGAAAGATGTAGGATTTGGCATGATATTTACTTATATGAAAACACAGTTTTAGCCTAACCCTGCACCTGCAGACCCACATGAAAAACTCCAGTTCTGGTCAGTCATTAATTTAAAGAAGCAGCACTTTGTGCTCTATGCACTTATGGAGAAGTGTTTAATATTATTTTTCATGGACTCCATCAGAGCTAGGAAGAGCCTGGATGAGGCCAAGATCAGAGCCAATCCACTGCAAAGGTCACTGTGGTATGAGCCTTGAAATACAGAGATGTGAAAATAAACTTTGAGAGTATACTTAGAAACCAATTTTATTTAATGAGTAAGCTACCAGTATTTTGTTGCCTAGGAATTGTAAACTGGTAATTGATGTAGGAGAAATAGTTCACACTAAATACATGTGACTACTGCATTTTTCCTTTTCTCAATGCAATCACAGCCCAGTGAATGCATTCAAAAACTGATTGGGCACAGGCCGAGGTTTCAGAAAGATGGGTCCAACCCTGGGCTGTGGAGTCCTGAATAGCAGAGCTGAAGGGAGGAGAGGCTGGTTCTCAACATCGTCCCAGGGAAGGAGGCACAAGGAATGCTCCCTTGGCAGAGCGTGGGCTGTGCTCTGCCTTGCACTCAACCCATCTCTGCTGAGTGAGTAGGAAGTGGGTATGTGGCACACACAGACTTCACCAGATCACCACATACACACTTCAGGTTAATGTCTTCTCTAAGCTTTATCTCAAAATAGGGGTGGAAGTGAAAGTTTCTAACCCTTAAAAGAGCTCTTCCCTTTCACTGACTCTGTATTCAAAGACAATTATTTATTTGGTTCTGGACTCTGATAAAAAGTTAAGGATTGGCAATAATGAGATTATCACATTTTTTCCAAGCTTTTTTCTTCCAGTAAGTGTACTAAAGATGAAAAATACTCACCAAGTATCTCTTTTGCAGCCAAAATAAAATGGAAAAGACATCATTAATTAAATTGTCAGTTTAATATATAAGGTCTAAGTAATGCATGGGACATACTCCACTGCTATGACCCTGATTCTGCAAAAAGCATGAGAGTCTCTATGCAAAAAAGGTCATTTACATATGCAGAGTTACTCTTGTGTACAAACGTCTAAAAACTCCAAGGCTTTGCTAAGGTTCTGTGATTAGCATTAGTTTGTCAATTCTTCCATGAAGAAAACTGCTGTTAAACTAATCTGAACTTTCCCAAGGCAAGTTTCTTAGTGGCTGATGCCCACTGTCACATTCCTCAGGTTCAGCTTGAATAGCAAATGCATTTTGAAACATCCATATATGGCTGCATGAAGTGATAAGAACAGCAGACTTTATAGTAAAGCAAAGGAAAACTCAGTTATTGACTAGAAATGTATATTTTTCTGAGGTTACTTCTAAACTTCTGGATCTGGAAGTGAGTGATTAAGCTTTCTGATAAAAGTGAGCTGATGATACTCAATCCTCTTTCCTCAAGGAGGCAGAAAACACAATACTATTGAAATATGCTACATAATAAATGCACGTTATGGCATAACACATACCCACAGTAATAAACCAAATTAGATAAGAGGAATTTTCCAAAGTGCTTCATGCTGGTCTAACCTCTTTGCACTGATGTCAAAAATAATGCTCCCACAGGCTTAGATAGAAACAAAGTCAGGCCAGTTCAAAATACCTCCATTATGAGCTCTAGACGTGTTTCTTGCTTAATTGAAAATTTTGTGTGGCACCAATAAAACAAAAAACCCATGCAATCTTTCTGTCTGGTAACACTCAGAGGTGGAGGGATGATGAAAAGGAAAGGCTGTATAGTAACGCAGGGAGTACTTGTCCCCATTTAAGCTAGAAGCTAAGAAAAGGATACTATTTTTTTGCCAGAATTCTTCAATTTAATGCACATATAAAATCCTTTTTTGCCTGGATTCCTGTCCAGAGCTGTTTCTCTCAACTTCCATTATGTTTAAAAATAAAAATCACATCAGCAAGAAGATATTCTCAATGAGGTACTGTAGCATATCTCTTCCCTCCATTAATGTATGTGAATTATGCTGCAGATCATGCTACCTCCACAACTTACAGGTTTTTCACTCATGTATCATTATAGCCAATATATAGTGCCAAGTTATATTGCCTTCAATCAGTGAATAAAGAGAAACTCCATCATAAAACAAAATAGCTGGTGGTTCATTCTCACATCCAATTACTTTAAATTATGTCTGTACAGTTAGGAAGAAAGCAAGGTGTTAATTTCACAGCAAAGATTTGGAACAGATCCTGCTCAATTATGGTACCTTCCCCTTGCCTTGCCTAAATGCACTTAATCCATCACAGTAGCCCAGTTTTCACTACCCATTATCTTCTGACATAGCCCCAGGCCTTCGAGGGCCTCCAGCCAACAGGGAACAGAGGCTTCTCTTTCAGTTTTCATGCTCTCTGTCTCTTTCTATGTCTCTTAAGGATGGCCAAGATCTGCCCTGTGAAATTATCACTGACTTGACGGCAGAGCCAGGCTTTTATACGACACACAGCAGTGGGGTAGCTCAGTAGATCCATCTCCAGATGATTTTTTCCAAAGAACATCATCTTCCCATTACACTTCCATAAAGAGAGGCATGGGTTTTAACTGACGGTAAAGTGCAACAGGGATTTGGCACTACCTATCTGTTAGAGACACCTCACGCCTGAAGAGCAGAGCGCTCTTTTGCACCTTGAAAAAGTTCTGCTGTAACCACATGAGGAGGACCATCAGCATGATTTATCTTTAAATGTCAGGTAGGTTAGATGAACTTCCTAGGTGTCACACAGCCCACAATGGCCAGCATGCCCTTGCTCTTAAAGATACTACATACAAACATTCAGTACTGACAAAAGTAAATACATACAATAATTACAGACTGGAATAGTTCCAGCAGGCAGTAACACAGATATGCAGCACACAAATACAAATTTAACGGCTGCTGTCTGAATGCTTCAGTCAGGGCACCTGGGAAGGTGGTTAAGAAAGATATTTTCTTAAGACATATATCAGAACAAGGCAAATACTTGAAAGACAGTATCTCAGGAATAATTTTTCCAAGTTGTTATCTTTGTAACTTTCTTCCAACCAGTGTCCTGATTTTTCCTGGAAGATTTAACTTTTTCTTTATTTTTTAAAAAAAAAGAAACAAACAAACAAACAAAACCAGGAAAAAACCACACCACACTGACAAATGAGAAAATCTGAGCAACTGCCACTATGAACAGTGGACACACTTTAGGGAAAAAAAACCCAAAACATCCAAAGTGATGATTTCCCCACCCTTCACAAACACATTTTCTCCCTGCTTTGAGTTTCTTTATTCCCGTAGAGGAGTAGTGGTGACACAAACTACTATACCAAAAAATAATTTTGTGACTTGGCAATTAAAAACACAACTCTTACGCAGAATCATGTATCTAGCCTTCAGGGCTGGGTCAAGCCGCAGCTCTACTAAAGTCTGCGAGAACTCTGACACCATTTTCAACAAAATTGGTAAGACATACCTGTGATACACTGAAGTTGAGAGTCTCTTGAGGACAAAACTAATGTTCCCAGCATGAATACACCCCAAAGTGCTGAATTTCTATGAAATTGCACAGATATCTCTTGATGGCAATGGGGACATACCAACATTTTGTCCCAGCATTTGGTTATATGTACATATTCCACTGACTTTTCAAGTGAAGTCACACCAGAAGAACTTTTTTATACTAAACACCCACTATCAGTGAATTTGCACTTGTGATGCATTGAGCTTGATGTGCCACAGCTGCCTCTCATTTTCTTCAGGGCTACAGTATCTACACTTGGTGTAAGCAACTCCTACAACAAAGCTTACTTTCTCTACAGCACACAGATACTTACACAATATGAGCCAGGTTTAGAGGTTTTTCAGGCTGGTCAGGGAACATTGGGTGCAAAGGTTCACGGCTGGAAGCACAGCTTAAAGACTTGCTAAGTGCATTAGTTAGCTTCTTAGCAGGTGATTTCTGGGAGGAACAAGGAAGGTAGAGGTAATCTGGACAAGTAAGGTGCATACTGTTTCTGCTATAGGAAGCACAAAACAACAGGAAGCTCTACAGCTTACGTACATATTGACTGACATACCCCTTGCCCCCCTCCCACCCCGAGAGTCTGGTAAGGCGAAGACTGCTCAGTTTGGAGGAAAGATTACTCTTACCTTCAGGGGCACTGAGAGTAGGCTCAGTGGGGGGGCACTGAGGCTCAGTAGGGGGAGGGGGGTATATCTATATGGACAGATGCAGTTGCCATGGCTTCTTTGCAATGCTGCACTCACTCAGTATTGAATGAAGGACAGCACAAAGCTAGTGTTGCCTGGGCTGGAGCTGGTTTGTTCCTCACCAGCTTGGAGTGCAAGCAGAACAAATCTGTGTATGTCTGTGCATATAGATACACCATACGGGACACTATTTTGTTCCTAAGTTGTGGGCCAAGCACAAGGCTGACGTATGCTTTCTCCTTGATAGCTAGTATTTCCCTCCTCATCTCCATCAGCCTGTACTGTTTAGCTGCAGTTATAAAGCTCCTCTTCCACCTCTGACATCTGCTGCAGATCCTGCCACACCAGGGAAGAGGAAATTTTGGACACACGCATGGTGGGAATTGCCCCATCATGGCACCATGCACCAGAAGAGGTTGATGTACTGTCACTGCCACCAAAAGATGGGGAGGTTCTGTGCAAGAAACATGCTTTTCACTCTGAAATCCCATCAACAAGACTAAAAAAAAAAACCCCAGTATTTTCTGCTTTTGACTTTTGTTTGAACACTCTTTGCAGTTTAACACTTTTCTAAGGAAGGGCTCAGAGATCTAGGGTGTCCTCTAGGCTGTGTGAGAGATTCTCAGAGAATCTCAACCCACCTCTCTGTGATTCAGCTTCTCTGCCAGTAAAATAGGGGTAGTGATCCTTACACTGCCTCCTCCCCCTGAAACACAGCTCTATATGCTTAAATTTGAAAATGTTTTTGGAACTTAACAGGAAGAGTATTGTATATGTGCACATACGTCAAGTTATGACCATAACCAAGATAACAGTGAAATATTTCCATTACAAAATTACAACCTAAATATGTAAAGTTCAAACTTTTTTTCTTTCATGATAAATGCTATTTCACTCTGAATTCAGATCAGTTGAGTTCTACTACACTCACGAACACCTTTAATCTGCATGTGGAGCTTGATATGGATGCATTATGGAGAATGCTAACCTGCTTTGAACAAATGCTAATGAATACTACAGAAAGGCAATTTCAAACTTGAAGCAAAACATTTGTTTCTGACAAGGAACATTTGAAACCACTAGGCATGTAGTCACGTTTTTGTCTTCTGCTGAGCAGAAATCTTACGTTTTCCTATTACTTCCTACCTATAATTACAGCTCCCTGGCTACCGCAAAAAATGGATTTATAGCACAAATTGCTATTAGGAATGGAATCAAGAGCTACATAGCGGGCACTCTCCTACTCAGAGACTAAACTCAAGCCATCAAGTCATTCGTGTCTATGCAACAAGCAGCAATTAGGACCCACAAAAACACTTACAGGCCCAGATCTGCTGGGAGGCAGTGCAGGGCCTGTGTGACTGGCATACAGAGCAAATCAAGTCAAATTTAACCCTTGCCCACTTCATCAACCGAAAACCAGGTATTTTTAAAGTGTTAAGCTTCAGAACTTTGTTAAAAATACTCACAAAGTGCTGTACCAATGTGAATCATTGCAATATGCATAGGGTTTTTTTCCTGTAATAATATGCTTTTGTAATATTTTAGATTAGTTAGAATTTTTCTGTTGTTTTCTGGAATTGAACCCAGAAGGATGCGGATACTCCATGACCTGTTGGGGCTTTGCTCCAGTCCATGGAGAGCTGAGCCTCCAGGTCTGACACCCTTCAGAGAAGGTTAATGTTGATACTTCTCTTTCAGCTTAGAAAAAGCATTGAATTATTTTGTTTAACAACAAAAAGACTGAAGTGTGTTTTTCTCTACAGTAAACATTACCGTGGATCTAAGCCTGTGACCATGCTCAAATCTACAGTGCCAGGACCATCCCAAATGCTACACATATGCTGCAGCCACTTGACTGAAAATACTGATCAATGAGCGTTAAGTATTTATCATTTCATCTACACGTAGCCAAACAGAGCAAGCCAATGGCGATTTTACCCTGAGTCCTGTGGGAGTGGGAGAAGCTGGCGCCAGGCTGCTGCCTTGCTGCCAGCCCCTCCTTCGGGGCCCCCCCCGCCACAGGCGCCCCAGATCCTCCCCCAGAAAAGACCATTCCCACCTCTGCGCTCTCCCGACGGCTCCCAAGGCCGGAGCCTCCCTGAGCCGGCAGCCCAGCTCCTGGCCTCCCTGTGATGGATGGCGGCCCGGAGCTGCGGCCAGGGGCTTCTCCACTGGCTGGAGGGCAAAGCAGTCTGCAGCGAGGTGCGAGCCTTCCCTTACCCATGACGTGTACTCTTTCATTTGGTGCTGGTTGCTGTGGGAACCGCTGGCATGGCCCCTCCAGAAGCAGTCCTGACAGAGCTGGTAATTGTGACACTGCTGGCAGCGGTAGCGAAACCCCATCATGCTCTCGCTGTGGCAGTAGGAACACTCGACGGGGTGGAAGACTGCGCAGGAGAGAGAAATGCCGAGCCATAAACCAAAGCAGAGAAACCCCCAGCAAAAGTTTACGGACAAAGCCCCGAACTGGAGGGCAAATCCCTTCTTTGTTTCTAGAGATCTGCAGCATCAGATCCTGCCTGCTGCTTTGACCCGTGAAAACTCGAGTTGCTGCCCAGCAACGTGTGCTGAGCCATGGGCAATGCTTCCTGCCCTGGGGACCAAACCCTCCATCACTTCTGAGCTGATGCCTGCACCTCCTGCTCGCAGCAGCAAAAAACGGGTTCAGTGATACACATTTTATATATTATTTATGTATATATTATTTATATGTTTCAGTGATACACATTAAATACATGATAGAGGAAATTCATATGTGGGAAAATCCATTGCATCCTTTGGCTGTCTTATTGGGGGAAGCTGAATGCTTTGCTGTGCTGTGAGGAGCTAAAGCAATGTGCCTCAGAGGAAAAGGCAAACTCAGCTGTCTGATTACTGGAAGCACAAAAAAGTACTTAGGCACGACTACTCTTAACTACTGCTGTCATCTGTAAAACTGGTCATAGTACATTTAGGTACCTATATATGGAGTTAAACACTTAGCTTTGGATGCCTAGATTTGGAAAGCTGGCCATTGAAGGACCCGTGTGGTCCTGTTCTCTGTTCCACTCAGAAGCAGATAGTAACGAGAATTCAAGCCACTGAGCACAATAAGGCACCAATCACCACATTCTGAATCCCCTTCCTGGCAATGGTGCTATTTCTGTTCCTCTCTCCTCACTACAGTGTGTACCCAGTTTATCATGGGGTGCTGTACATTTCCTTGTTCCCAGACACCTTCTGCTCTTCTGTTGTAAGGAGGATTTGGATCAGTGCTGAGTGTCTCAAGGCTTTAATTCCTTGCCAGAATTTTGCAGCAGGAAGGGTTAGTGCTCTAGGCTGGAAAACTGTGCGAAGCTAGCAGGGGGACAGGGATGGATGACAAGAGCTTGAGGAAGGAGTGGTAGATAGGTGGCTCTGTAGCCAAGAATGACTTGGGAACATCACCGTACCCACTTAGGTGCCTTTCAGTTGAAGAGGGATTTACTTAGTACAAGAACACATACAACTTCCTCCATCTCCTTTCATCACCAAAAAATGGCTGCACACCTGCCCTTCCACCAGTTACATTTTGTTGTTGGAAATATGGTATACTTTTATTGCCCAACAGGATGAGTACAGATGATCTTTTCTTCCTCCTGTCCCTCCTGCCCGCCCTTCTTTTTCCTTGCAGCATCCCAAAGCTTGAGTTCTGCTAGAGGTAAACCTTCAAGGGAGCAACAACATAGGAAAATTCAACAAGTCCCTTATACAACAACCTGTGAGGCAAAACATTGGTCTGGAAAATTGTTTACAAATAATCGATTTATCTTGCTAAAATAAGATTTTAAAATTTTAGTATAAACTTCTTCCATTTTTACATCCTCCTTTTTCTAGATGTGAAGTGTTGGAATAATGACTGTTAGCATCATTGCCTCCTGATGATCATGAGCAATAAATGCCACATTAAGAACACCCAGATAAACAAGACAGTAAAAAGGCATTTCTTGTCTGATTTTTTTTTAATATTTTTAATATTGGCAGTGCTGGTCCTTCTGGACAGCAGAAGCCAGCTGCACTGAAGCTGGGGAACTCCTCCAGAACTACATGAGGAACTGTACAGAGTTTGTGGGCTGCAATTTGGTGGTACACACAGTGAGATGAGATGCACAAGCTTTCTAGCTTGCCCCTGCACTTTCAGTGTGACAGCACCTTCTACAGAAACCATATATGGATGGTTTGGCTGAGGGACTACATCTGTGAGTCTGTTAATGTTTCCCTAGGTGCTCATGAAGTTGGAAAGCTGAGGAAGATGTTACTGTCCAGGGACATGCAACATCCACAGTGCAATAATCAAATGAGTTGATCTTCATGGTCCCCTCCTGTCTTAAAATCTGTGATCTACTAATTTTGGGAAAGACAACCATTGAGAAGAAAGAGGCATCTCACAGTTAAATCCTCATCTTCCACACAAGCAAAGGATAAGGACGAATCTGGAACTTCCTTTTCAGAGTATATTGTCTGGCAGTGTAGGCTTAGGAGGAGATCCCTCATAAGGACCTTTTGGCTGATATTTTGCACTGCACTGGACATCCCTGCCAAGAATATTGCGTGAACGGAAACTACCAAGCTGTTCCTTCTCTGCTGCCATATGTCATAGCTAATAAAAGCTGCAGCCTTGATAGTTTACCAAATGTAAGAGTGTGAATGGATGAAGTCCTATCACTCTTTGCTTATCCAGAGCATATGAGGAAAGGACATCATCAGGATAATTTCCTGAGCATAGCAAAAATTAAGCCATGTTCCTGGCCAAATGACCAAGAGGATTCTTTAAATATTTTACCAGTGACTGTAAAAATAGTATATGGAGTCAATGAACTTAGTACAATAGCTCCTACAAAACCATCTACAGAGTGAGAAAATCATCACACAAAAGTTTACTCTTGTAACTGTTGTTTGGCAGCAGCTCTTACTTACCATTTTCAACATTTGCCAGTCGATGCAGAAGTGGTAACCACACTAGACACTGTGGCGGGGGATCAGACATGAGAGTATCCAAGAAAGTGTTTAATGTGACTTTTTTCTGCTCAAACAAGCAAACAAACATGCACAAAAAATCAGTAATTAGACATATCAAAATGATTTTATCTTGTCCTTACAGAAACCCTTGGGATCAAGTTTCAAACACTGTTTACTTGTAGCCTTGGTTTACTAAAAAGAACAAGTGATACTAGCAGAGATTTTTCTGGACTATTTTTAATAGTTACAATATATACTAGTGATGACCAGCAGTCCTTTTCAAAAGGCTGGGCTGGAGACACTCAACTCCCATTGACTTCAAGACTGTCTTCCAAAGTCATGGCCTGAAGATGCTTTGTGAATAAGGCTGGTATTCAACTTTGATATTCTCATGTGTTTTGAGTACCCCATAACGAGTACAAGTGCATGGAAGGTATCACTATGTATTACCAAATTTTACATGAAAAACCACTGCAGATAATGACTGATGGTACTCCAAAAAAAGAAAATGAAAGAAAATAATGACAAGGGAGTACAATTTCAAAACAAATATAGGGTAAGGACAGACCATCCCAGGCCAGTTGTGTTACTGTACTTAAAGAAACTATGCTTGTCTGTTGGTGATGGCAACTAATTATGGGTGAGCTCTGATTGTGGGATGTTGTGTTTGCATACACTCAGGGACTGCAACTGTTCTAAACTCTCCACACCTGTAAGCACTTAAAGGCCTATGCCCTTTCATCTTTCAAAGAGATTTAAACTCTAAAATATCCTTGCTGATTTAAAAAATGTAATCTAAGGCCTTAAGTTTCTTAAGCATCTGGAAAAAGCACAAATCTCAGTTAATTTTTCTTTTTCCAGACCTAAAGGTAATATTTCAGCCTGAGATCTCCAGACTTGCTCTTTTCTGCCTACTGACACACACTGGCTACATCAGTGTGTACTAAAGTACGCAGCTACTAGCTGGTCAAGGACAGAGAGTCCTTAAGAAATGAGCAACTGAGCCTTCCTTTAAAATAAAACTGAGATGCAAAAATATTGAGTCCTATTGAGAATGTGTACAGATATAATTTACAGACATACATATTTAAGTAGCATCCCCATATCCAAAGGGATTGCCAAATTTTCACATCTGATTGCATAAGCTACTGCTTTAACTTGCTAAAGAACTGTAGTTACCCCATGAGGAAGCAGAACAGCAGCTAGGCAGTGACATGTATCATCTCCGTGTGTTGTAGAGTGCTTTTAAGAGCTGAGATTTCCAGATGGAGTGTCTGTGCTGCATTTACATACAATTACCACCAGATGTAAAGAAAATAATTATTTCTCTTATACACTGAATGATCAGTGGAAAACATCTCACTCTGTAGCAGTCTCAGGGCTGAAATATTGCAAGATACTGGGAAATATATAAAGGTATTTGTCCCTAAAATAAGAGAAAATACTTCAGGCTAGTTGTGAAAATGGTCTTGATTCTTTAATGAGCAGAAATAGGCAGAATATGAGCGCTAAATCTCACTGAAATACTATCTTTTCCCACAATACCTGCAGTATGAAAGCCCAATCAAACAGCTACCACCTGTTTGTTGTATGAATGATCTTCCCACCCATGGAGAGTGGATAACCACTTCCTGAATAGGCATCCTACACTATAAGCATCAGCTCACAGAAAATGATCTTTCTTTTAAAGATCTGCTGTGGATGTCTGGTATGGCTTTGCTGACCAGTGCTGCCAGCAAATGTCTGTGCTGTCTGCAGCAAAACTGAGAACAGGAGGAGTAAAGGCAGAATGAAATCTAGGAAAAGAAGAGTCCTCCAGTGCCCCACACTGCAGATCTGAGTAGTCTTAAGTCTTCCCTCTGCTCTTGAAGGCAGGTAATTTGGCAGCAAACAGGCAACTGGTCTAAACAAGCAAATAGATGGGGAGACAAGAACAGCTCTTCCACACTGGAATATGCTTTTGAATGCAGCTATAATTTGATTTGCACCAAATAAAGCAACTTAGCTTCACTGACAGCTTTATGGCTGAACTCCTCTCGTGGTCACTGATTTTATGGATTATAGAGAGCAGTCCTCCTTAAAAGGACACCAGCAGAGCAATTTCCATATATTTTAAAAGACATATTTTCCTCTTGCAGTTTTTTTTCAGCTGCTGGGTAAGTTGAAACTGAAAGCTGTTTTCTAAATATACACTACATGCAGATGGAGTCTAGATTTGTGGAATAACACATCCAAGTGCAAAGAAAGTGAAGTTAGTGTCTATCTTTTTAATTTGGGATAAAAAAGGAGAAATAAAGTGGGTTTTATAATAATACCACCACTTTTTAATACAAATACAGTATAACATCACACTAATCCAACCTCTGGTGATGATAAAACTCCTTTTTGTGACACAGATATGTATTCTGAAATATTAAGTCACTGCTCTGGCATTTGTGTTCCAAAAATTTGCTGATAAGGAAACAGTGTTGTTTCTACTTTGTATAGTCATTCAATCTAGCAGTGGTTCACAGACGGAGAAAAAGACATAGTTTGATCAAGTAAACTAGTATAATAGGGAATAATAAAACATTTCTGCAACAGGAAAAAATCCTTTCAGATGCAAACTGAAAAAGATTTGACACCATGAGCAGAAGATCATTCCCAGAATTTTTTCTTTCCCCAAAATTGAGAAATCTATGTTTCACAGGGCTGAAAGGCTTCTGATAAGCAAAAGTGATCCATACTGAGAACAACAGAGAGAGTGCCAAACTTATCCCAAAGTGTCAACTTTTGATAACACTAAGTGCAACATGAGAGAGTGAGAGAACGACCTACGGTGTGACTAAGACTGTAAATATAATTTATCAGTGTCATACAGATATGTTGTTTTGAGTCTCATTTCAAAACTCTGGTTCATCCCTAGTGAAGAGGTAATGAGAATAACATAAAGTGAATTTAGTGAAGTATTAGACTACATTTACAAGAGCATTGGCTGCCTACAGATGTAAAACAGCGGCTTTGTAAATCTGCTGTGTACCTTGTCCTGGGTTTGACCTAAACCATGACAACCTACATCAGTCAGACACCAAACTCTCATTAGCTTTAAGTACAGATTGTGAACTAAATAATCTAATGCTTGTTTGGAGACTCTGTTTCTTAAGGTACCTTAGTACGTGTGGTCCACTCATTTGGATGCAATGCCAATGAAAGTGCCATTTCTGATGGCTGCTTTGATAGAAAATGAGGCCTGAATGACCTTTTTTCAAGAAAATAAATTGCTTTTTTCATCTTTAATAATACCATGTCCAACATATAAAGCCTGAATGTCCTGTTGCCATGCAAGAGCTCTCTTTCATTATTTTAACACAAAACTACCAAAAGCCACTTCACTATGTAAATTCTACAGCTAGAGAGCAGCCCTGCAGAGAGGGACCTGGGGGTTCTGGTTGATGGCAAGTTCAACATGAGCCAACAGTGTGTCCTGGCAGCCAAGAGAGCCAACCATGCCCTGGGGTGCATCCAGCACTGCACTGCGAGGGAGATGATCATCCCACTCTACTCTGCACTGGTGTGGCCCCACCTCGAGTACTGGGTGAAGTTTTGGGCACCACAGTATAAAAAGGATGTAAAGCTACTGGAAAGTGTCCAGAGGAGGGTCACTAAATTGGTGAAGGGCTTAGAGGGGAAGCCATATGAGGAGAGGCTAAAGTTGCTTGGTTTGTTCAGCCTGGAGGAGACTGAGAGGAGATCTCATCACAGTCTATAACTTCCTCACAAGGGGAAGAGGAGGGGCAGGTGCTGATCTCTTCTCTCTGGTGACCAATGATAGGACCAGGGGAAATGGCAGGAAGATGTGCCAGGGGAGGTTTAGGTTGGACATTAGGAAAAGTTTCTTCACCCAGAGGGTGGTGGAGCACTGGAACAGGCTCCCCAGGGAGGCAGTCATGGCACCAAGCCTGACAATATTCAAAAAGCATTTGGGCAATGCCCTCAGACACTTGGTCTGAATCTTGTGACTGTCCTATGCCAGGGCAAGAGTTGGACCCGATGATCCTTGTGGGTCCCTTCCAACTCACAACATTCTATGACTCTATGATTCTAAGTGCTGTCTTAAGTCTCCCTCTGTGAAACAAGATGAGTTTCACATATGCAAACATTACCATTTAAAATGATTTGGGAGATGATTCAATAAATGAATTTCAACAATGCCTTTCAGTTGACTGAGTTCCTATTGATTAGTGATGAAACTGAGCAAAACCAAAAAATGAGACTATTTTGCATGAAAATAACACTATTCCTGCTTCATTCAACTTATTTGTTCAACATTATTCAGTATTCAGTTAACAAATGGAAGCCTGAGGAGAAGGAAACTACCACTTTATTTCTAACATCTTCCTAATTTCAGCATAGAACCATAGAATCATTTTGGTTGGAAAAAACCTTTAAGATCACAGAGTCCAACTCTAAACATAACACTTCCCTTACTTTATATTTACAGAATTACACAGGGTGATGAGTCCAACTCTAAACATAACACTTCCCTTACTTTACAGAATGACACAGGGTGATGAGAAGCAACAGCCAGGGGAATTTTCTCTTTCACCATTGGAGAGGTGGGCAACCGATCATAATTATGGGATCTTTTGAAGTGATAGATATTAGCTGCAGTCAACATACTGTATTCAGTGCACCTACAGAGTCTGGTGAGCTGTGTAAAAATCTCTTATTTTCTTCAGGAAAAATTTATTGTTTTCTTGATCCTATCTTGTTGATGTTATCTGTAAGAGACCAGGGATTTTCTAATACCTACTGACTCCCATTTTCAATAAAAGTTGAAGACAAATTTCTACTTGCTTGTAAACTTCTTGTGTGTGTCCACCAACACTTCCAAAAACATGTATTTTTTTTTTTTTGGTGAGAGTTAAGCTTTGTGTGGAGAAGTTAAAGTCTCACATATACTTGTACCAACAACTAACCGTAGTAGAGGACTGCATGTCTTTGGTATTTATATCATTTAAATGTATCTAACTTAGGTGCTTAAGTTAGGAAGTTAGTCTCCTCAGGTTCCCCAGTTTAGGAACATGTAAGGTAAGATCCTGCTCTGAATCAGTTTTTGACTAAGCCTCTCCCTCCTCCATGGTTATATGGGGAACTTAGAGAGACTAGCTTCCTGTTGAAGGCATCAAACCTACATGCCAGAAATTGGCAAAGTGGACCTCCCCTCCACTCAGCCATGTGTTTCCTGGGCAAATATGCACATACGTATAAGAAAGGAAGAAAGTCTCAGCCTGCTCAGAGGTGTGATTTGGATCCTGTGTCTAGGATCACTGTTCATTTACCTGTTGTGAGAAACAGGATTTTGCTGATTGCTCAGTATAACCAAATGAGGGCCCTTCGAAAACAGCTGTGGGCAGCTTGAGAACCTCCCGTAGAAACGTGTCATATCTGCCATAAACCATCACTCCACTGGAGTCGGAAATCATTGAGAAAATATCTGAGAGAGGAAAAGACAAGAAAAGGACACAGCAACATCAGTGAGAGCTACAGATTTGCTCTGAATTCAGTATCATCTGATCTCAACCAGAATTGCTAAACAACACGTTCTGCTTATGGAAACCTCCACTATTACTGCATCTCTAATTACAGCCCTTCTTGACAGAAAAAAAAGAGAATGATTTACTTAGAAAAAAGTAGCTGATTTTGATATTTAAATATTCCTGCTTTTTTTCATTGTGTGTGGTCATTTTTTTAAGTGAAGTCTGACACATGACATGAGGCAGTAATTTAATCAGATAAGAAGGATCTAATTTTACAAGATAGCAACATCAGCTTTTCACCTATTGCCAGCTTACCATGTCAAATCCAAATCTTGACAGTGAGTTCGTTAAGTCAGTTATTATTGTTTTGGACACACAAAGCACTGAAGGTCTTTCAAATGCATTACTTTTTACTTTCCTCCATTTTTTTGTTAATTTATAAAAATATCACAGTTTTATTATTCCAGAGACGCATGTTTCTCACCCTTTACTTTTCCCATTGTTTAAAATTATCCCAAGCTTAGCAGGGGATCATAGACTAAGGAAAATTTATAATTTTTCAGGCTGTGATGTCAGTTGCTTCACTTCCAGGAACCTGGAAGGGAAATTCTGACAATGGGCCCCTGGGACTGCTGACTGGAAAAATCAGCATCGTACTCCAGTCTTCCACTGGGTGGACCCTGCTTCTATTCTTAAAGCAGCCTATGGAACAAACAGTGTTCAATTTTTAATTTATAATTTAAGTTCACTCTGTATTTGAGTTTCTACATAGAAATGATATATTAAAAAATGGCACCAAATTGAGAAGACTAAATTAGCACTTGGGATTTCTACTTGTCTAATCAACAACAATTTGTAAACTCACTTTTATTTGGCTGTGATAGAAGGCTCAGAGGGAACTGAAGGTTGACACCAATCCTGTGGTCAAAAAGTCTGGGAAATGGTGTTCTGAACCTGAGCTATAGACATCGTAGCACTAAACAGCAAGTCTTTCATTGAAGCTACAAGTAAACTACGCCTCGGCTATTGGGGAACGGGGAATAAAGCCTGTGAAATGAGAATCTGTTCTGTAGAACAGATGGAATAAGTATGTGCCCTATGGGAAGAAATACAAATAGTGCACAAATATATTGTACTTCTAAGTATGAAATGAGAGAGAGATTAATAAAAAAGTGTCTGAAGAAATTGCTAAATGATGCTTCATGATGTTGAATGTTTTGAGGCACTTACCCATAGTCTAAATTCAATCATCCCAAAGAGAAAAAAATCCACCAATCAGAATGTCCATATATGCAATTTAGCTTAAAAAATATTAAATTCAGTCAAACATTTAGTGGAATTTACTTGGAGATACATATAGGGTGAATCTGAAACCCAGCCACGAAACTATAACTTATCCTAATTCCCTCTTTTCCTACCTGTACTGTTATCTCTCCAAGCACAACAATGATTAATAGGCAAAAAATGTCACCCAAAAGACGTACATCTTAATTTGTCCATGATCTTTCCTCCACAAAGAGTTGCCAAGGCCATTTTGACAGCAAAAACGGAAATTTTACCATGTCCTTCCCTGTTCAAAAGTAGAAAGTAAACATATTTTTTAATATGGACCTATTTAAAATGTGTATCATTGACATAACATATTGTAATGCACACTATATGTGGATTCACATACGAAGAAATTTCTTTTGTGGCAACACACATCAGTACATTGTTCTGTGAAGATGTCAGAGCAGATTTATTAAGTATATGAAGCTCTGTATTAAACTCTTTATCTCATTATACACGAGGATTATGATTATTACTGCTATTTGTGCTACAGTAGCACTGGAAAGCACCTATCACACTGATGGCCTCCCTACCCTAAGTGCACTGCGTATCTTCTGTCCCTAGAAGATTGCAAATGAGTGCAAAAATCAACACTGGGAACAAAAGTAAAAAAAGCAGAAGGGGCTCAGACAATTGCACAAGCTGCACATTGTACCTGTTAATGAATCCTGACAATTGTCTTCTAAATGATACACGGGACCACCATGAACCTTTAAGAAGGACTTTGCTGAAAAATGGGGAATAAATCTGCATCCAGGATGAGCAAAGGACATTTGCTGTGGTATGTAGAAGAGCCTTGTCCCTGGTTTGTTCAAGGTGAAGCTATGCCTGGCTCTCTATTTTCAACTTAAAATGCATAATGCTATTAAACCCCAAATGCACAAAGGAGTATGCCTTGGGGCAAAAAGACATAGTTTTTTCTGTAAATGAAGCCACTTTCAGTTAAGAATAAAATAAGTTTTTTTCCCCCCTGGAAGGATCAGACCATATACGGCACTCTTAGGATGCTGTGTTCACCTTTAGCACATTGCCAACTCTTCCTTCAACTGTCTTGAAGCACGCAATGCCTTCACTTAATTGCTTCTCTTGCTGTCCTCATTCTCCCTCCCAGTCCTGATGGTCCCCAATGATTACCTGCCATTATACAAAGCCTGGTGTATTTGAGCTGCATGTACATGACCTCACACACTGCAAGGCACTTCCTAAAAGACCCATCCCCCCAGTTTAGGCAAAACTAAGTCCAGTGTTGACAGGAATGGTGGAACAAAAATGCTGCAATGTTCAGTCCTTTTCCAAAGACAAGAATGAACATGCCTTTCTAAGTTCATCTGCTTTTGAATGTTCATCTTTTTGGCATCCAAATGTTGGAACATGTTTTTTCTTGGAATTCTCAAAGTCTTACTATAAGGCAGGCAGAATCCACAGTTGCACTGGAGCAATTTTTATCTGGCATCCAAACTCCTTAGCATTACTTAACAGTTTCCTATATGTCTGTTTAATGACATCAGTGAGAACACGCTGTCATCATCCTTTAAAAAAGAGTCAACCAATATTTGTGAGCTTTACAAAATGGCACCTACCCATGTCTCCTTCTAAATTCTACTGACAGGGCTAATGATGGGACCAGATAATAGTTTTGCACCATTCTTTGGAAGTTCGGTGACCTGCAGTCTTTAATCTATCAGAGAACATTATGTTTATAAGGGATTTCCTGTTAAAAAATATATAATTATGTCTTACATAAGATAAGTCTAACTGCAGTGGCAATAACAATATACAGAAATTTAGCTCTCCCCATCAATATTTATGAAATTACTCTGTTGATTGTCACTCATAATTCTAATGAAGAAAATGGTGTCTGATCAGAACTAAAAGATAACTGATTCTGGAAAGACACAGAGCCTCTGACTGTGTGTCTCTCTCTGCTAGTCCCCAACCAGTCTAATATATATATATATGAATACATATATACATACATATACACACATATATAGTAAACATGGATGGTATACTCATATCAGTATATTAAAGCATGCTACATGCTTCACTGCTATGTTCATTAAGTCACTCAGACTTCAGAAAGTGAGTTAGTTCCCTAAGCTTGGCTAGCTAATAATCTTTACAGTTTGATGAATTTGATTTAATTCTAGCTCAGTGTAACCCATGATTCTAAGTATTAATTCTAAATATTATTTGCACGCATTTAAAATTCTGCTTTTTGTCAGAAAAGCAACCTGAGATGTAAACAAAAAGAATTAAGTTAACTCCTTCAGTATTTAAGAAATAAATCTTTACTATGTTCTTTAATAGCTGGCTTTCAGGCACATTTTCTTTTCCATTACATTGTGTTCTCTTTGACTGCCTTCATAAGATTAAAATTACACTACAGGAATTTCACAATATCTTCCAGTCTTCTGTATTTCCATCCTTCATTGGCTGGATTCTAATTTGTGTAAACCAGGACATAGCCTGCTGCAGCTATGGCTGAGAATTTGGCCATTTCGTATCCTTTCTGTGCATGCTACCCTTTAGACCTTTGGGAATTTTTCTGCACTGTTTCATCATGAGGTTTTCACCTGCCTTTTATTATACTTAAGTTATTATACTTAAGAAAAATAAATGCTAAGTGGAAGCAACGGCACTATTCAGAGGCAATGGAAGAATTAGACAAAAAAATAAAGCCCATGTAGAAGTACTTCAAATTCAGATTCTTTTTCCCAGTAGGTTTAGTTACATTTACTAACAGGATTATATTCTTGAATGGCAGACAGATATCAATTTGCTTTCAGCTTTCCACCCCAGAGCCATCAGCTTTTCCCATACTCAAATGGTTATGGAACAGAGGAACAGAAAAGGAAAATATTTCATTTATCTTTTCAATCTCTCTATTTGAATTGATTGGTTTTGACACTGTATTTTGTATCGGTCATTTGTATTCATAAAAGCATCACTAGAGCCAGTATAAATTCAATTTGCCCTTCAAATATATATGTGTGCACGCATATACACACATGCATATATAAATACATATGACTGATGAACGGACAGGATAATGGGGCCTAAGAATTGCCAATATAATTTGGATCCAGAAGTGCCCTAAGCTACGTCTCAGCACTACAGATGTCCTTGACTGGCAGCACTGGGGGCTCACAGTGTTTGCTGAGTGAAAGCAAATGCTGAAGCAGTGCCTCACAGCAGCATGAAGATTTCTGTTGAAGTTGGTGCTCCCTGAAAGAAGCTTTAGGCTGGCTAATGCAAAGAGATATACATTTTACTAGTGGAAATTGCAGAGGACAGAAAATATTTTTATTTTATATAGCACCTCTCTTACTGAGGTTACTCTTCAGATCCCTACAGAAAAGCACGAGAAGCATAAAAGATGGCAAAGGCAAACCTTGAAGCTGATGCACACTTAGCAACAACAGAGGATGGAGTACTTAGGAAAGGGAATGATGGCCGGGGCTTAAGGTTATCTCCTGCTGTTTGGGGAAAAAAGGGCAAAAATTAATACATGCTTTTAGACAGCAGAGCTAAAGGTTTCCTCTTTAAATGTGCGGCTGCAGAGAGAGACAGCCTCTCCCCAGAGCAAGGAAGCCCCACAGACTGCCTGATAAAATCCACATACCATACAAGGCCAAGTCCAGCTCCAGGGCCTGAATTTGCCTTTTGGATCAGCAAGGAGAGTGGTACCAAATGGATGACACTGACATTTGTCAGGATCTCCAGCAATACTCATACTGAGATAGCCATACGGTGGGGAGGGCTATACGGAAATAACACCACATCTTTAGAAACAGCAAATATGTCCCACGAAATGGACATCGAGAAAATATGATTTTTCTCATTAAATAGGCATGAAGTGGTGCTTCTCCAATGCCTTAAGTTATCTTTCCCAAAAGTAACTAAATTTCTTCAGTTACTTGTGGGCTTCCTACTGCCCACCTTAATCAGGGCAGCCAATCCTGAAATGTCAGAGGCTGCAATTACAAATACCCATCTTCACAAAGAGGTTTCAGATAGGAAATTTTATTGGAATCAAGCAAAATTCTTTCATTTAGGAGAACAGAATGCATAATAAGCAAATCTCTCAAATGCATTTTTCTGCTGGACTTCCTTTGTAAAAGCTAGCTGGCCTGTACAGCTTTCAATGACTAGTGAAGATGAAGAACAGAAGGAATTAAAACACTTCACAGCTCTGAATAGATGGATGAGCAAGAAGTTATACTTCCAAAACAGATACTGAACATCTTTATGTATTAAACTCAGTATGATTCAAATGTGCACTTGATTAAAGAAGGGGATGATTATTTCCTTTATTCTTTGTAGAAGTCAAGCACCTCCAGCCAGATTGGGTCTGTTCCACAGCCCAGAGCTCACAGCTCTATTCACAGGACAGGTATGTCAAGGGACAGAGAAAAA